GAAACAACATCTCCTCTTCGCTGATCCTCAACACTGGGGCCCCACAAGGGTGCGTGCTCAGCCCCCTCCTGTACTCTCTGTTTCATCCATGACTGCGTGGCCAAGCACGCCTCTAACTCAATCATCAAGTTTGCAGACGACACAACAGTAGTAGGCTTGATTACCAACAATGACGAGACCGCCTACAGGGAGGAGGTGAGGGCTCTGGGAGTGTGGTGTCAGGAAAATAACCTCTCACTCAACATCAACAAAACGAGGAGATGACCGTGGACTTCAGGAAACAGCAGAGGGTGCCCTATCCACATCGACGGGACCGCAGTGGAGAAGGTGGAAAGCTTCAAGTTCCTTGGCGTACACATCACCGACAAACTGAAATGGTCCACACACACAGACAGTGTGTGGAGGTTGAAGAAATTCGGCTTAGCACCTAAAACCCTCACAAACTTTTACAGGTGCACAATTGAGAGCATCCTGTCGGGCTGTATCACCGCCTGGTACGGCAACTGCACCGCCCACAACCGCAGGGCTCTCCAGATGGTGGTGCGGTCTGCCGAACGCATTACCGGGGCAAACTACCCGCCCTCCAAGACACATACAGCACCCGATGTCACAGGAAGGCCAAAAAGATAATCAAGGACATCAACCACCCGAGCCACTGGCTGTTCACCCCGCTATCATCCAGAAGGTGAGGTCAGTACAGGTGCATCAAAGCTGGGACCGAGAGAATGAAAAACAGCTTCTATCTCAAGGCAATCAGCCTGTTAAATAGCCATCACTATCACATTAGAGGCTGCTATTGAAATCACTGGCCACTTTAATGGAACACTAGTCACTTTAATAATGTTTACATATCTTGCACTACTCATTTCATATGTATATACTGCATTCTATTCCATAATATTCTACTGTATCTTAGACAATGTCGCTCTGTCATTGCTTGTACATATATGTATATATTCTTAAATCCCATTCCTTACTAGTTTTGTGTGTATTGGGTACATGTTGTGAAATTGTTAGATATTACTTGTTAGATATTACTGCACTGTCGGAGCTAGAAGCACAAGCATTTCGCTACACCCACTATAACATCTACTAAACACGTGTACGTGACAAATAAAATGTGAATTGATTTGATCACTATACCATTTTGATTTATTACCTACATTTTAGCATTTTATCCTTAAATTATTTGTTTAAATACACTTGGAGAGGTTAAACAATGAAGAGCAATACCTATTATACACTTTTCTGAGTTATACATAACTATGGCAGGACACACGTAGACAGTATACAGCTGGCTATATCAAAAACCAAGACAGGGGAACTAAGCCAATATCTGAATAGATAGCAAACTAGCTACACAAATGGGAACACAAATGTGAACAATTGTATTGGTACACTGATAAACATTTACATTTTAGTAATTTAGCAGACGCTCTTATCCAGAGCGACTTACAGGAGCAATTAGGGTTAAGTGCCTTGCTCAAGGGCACATCGACAGATTTTTCACCTAGTCGGCTCGGGGATTAGAACCAGCGACCTTTCGGTTACTGGCACAACGCTCTTAACCACTAAGCTACCTGGTAAAACAAACGTATCCCACTAGCTATTCAAACATGCATTTTACAGTGTGGCTCAGTTGGTAGAGCATGGCACTTGCAACGCCAGGGTAGTGGGTTCGATTCCCACTGGGGACCAGTAGGAAAAATATGAAAATGTATGCATGCACACACTACTGTAAGTCGCTCTGGATAAGAGCGTCTGCTTAATGACTAAACTGTAAACTCACAGGAATTACGCTTAAGGAATTTGTAGCATACGTTAGCTAGCAAGTCTTTCAAGGTAGCAAGCACAAAGTGATTTTCGGAAGAGGTTAGAAGAGCATTTACGTTAACCTTAACCCTTTCCCCAACCGTAGTCTCCTAACCTGCTACGTTAATTCTAACCTGCTGCGAAACAGTCACTTAGGTATCGGAAGTGCGGTGAAAAGTGTTTCCCAGCTAAACTAGCTACATAAAGTAATAGGTCGCGTGCAAGCATTATGCTGACCGTCGTGACATAGCTAGCAAACTCGATATTCAGAATGAACAGTAGATACTTAGCTAGGAAAATATTGCATGCTATGGATCGATTAAAAACGATTGTAACGTTGGTGTCACTTATGTCAGCACTGCATGCTAACTATATGGGCGTCCGATATATGCCATTAAAGCTAGCTAAACTAACGTTAGTTAGCTCGCGCCTAGGAACATAACGATATGGAACGATATGTTATGTTCCTAGGCTCGTCCTAGCAAACCACTTAGCTAATTAGTAATAGTTGTAAGCAAACATTTCAACTGTTCGTAAACGGTCTAACAGAACTGTCCAGAATGGCCGGTTTCGGAGTTCATTCGAATTTTGACAGCCAGTACTCCGCTCACAGGCTGCCTTCCCCCATTCCATACAAGTCAACAAAACAGGCACCGTCGCTAGCTAACTAGCTAGCTACAACTGTTTAGATCACTTCGGAAATAACACGTGTATCTAGGCGCACTTGAGCCCAAAAAATAAGCAAATCATTCAACATTACCTCCTGCAGCAAATTATGTCTCTTTTCTTTATTTTTCTCAATCGATTTTTCTCGTTTTATAAAATCCACACACGATCGATTATCTCAGAGCATTAGCTAGCTGTTTGCACACAGGAGAGTTAGGCCTCACGCCTCCTTCACGAGCTTCAGCTCAGTGATTGGCCAGACCAGGATTGTAGTTAGTCACTGGATACGTTCTGTGGATTTGTTTGGATGGTCTCGTTGATAGATTGATATATGAACCAATAGGGCAGCACATTTTGCGCATGTGAAAAGGGTTAACCTCCAGGAAGCGTCATTTTACGATATCAAAACGAAAACGGTACCAAAATGGGTCGTCACTAGTTACCACAGCCATAAAGTCATAAACCCCGCCTTTTTCTACAATTTATCTTCCTAAAATCTGATTTTACACCTAACCTTAAACACACTGCTAACCTTATACCTAACCCTTAAATTTGAAGACCAACAAGCAAATTGTTTTCATTAATTTTTACTATAGCCAATTTTGACTTTGTGGCTGTGGTAACTAGTGGAAACCACCAAAATGGTAACTAGTACTACAAAAGTCCCCGGAACAGTTTTTTTCTCTGAAGGAATGTACTATTGATCCAAATGTAGCCATGTTCTTCGGAACAGTGCAGCATCCTTTGCAACAAGGAACGAAATACGTGTAAATGTGCTTACAACCAAAACCAATAACATGGATTTCAGACAATGCTTGCCCCCCAAAAATGTGTAACATGTGGCAGTATAATAGCTATGAATTAGTAGTGTTTCAAAGCTTGATATAAAATGGACATGCAGAATTATCTACACATTTATTTTAAATAGACTGTAGTCATTATACTGACACCACTAGGACAAAAGGCACCATTACTTTGTTACCGAGATAAAGAAACATGTTGGAAAATTGCAAATTTTATAAAAAAAAAAGGTTGAAGGTTTATTGGGATATTCTGCACTTGGTAAAAGTAACTTCCAATACTACATATCAAAAAACAAGTTCTAAAAATATACAATTTTAGAAAATATACATTTCCAGTTTATGCAAATAGTAAATATTTGAGGTATTACTAACATCTGCAGCCACTGGCATTCATTTTGCAATATTGGAATAGAACAAGCAGAAATATACAACTGAGCAAAATTTCAATTCTGGATCTTAAATATTTCCTGTTGAACCACCAGGGAAAAGTTCAACAGGGCTAGATGTTTAAGTGTTCTATAGCCCTGCCTTGGATCAAAGCATTTCATGGAACACCTAAACAGGAATTGTGCACAACTGTACAAAAGGTTACACATGACATCTTTGGGCTTGTTCAGACTTATCAGATGGAAACAGTGTGCTTAAGACAGCAGTTAAAGGATTAAGGCAACATACATTTTACAATTAAAAGGGATAATTACTACAAAATAAATTGGAACAATAGAGTCAACCAGTGAAAGGTATACATTTCTGGTGAGTAATTTTGCTCGCCTCAAATTGAAATCAAATGTTCAGTAACTCCATCAGATTACACATGGGAAAGTAAATGTAAAAAAAAAAGCTTTGTAAAGAGTATACACACTTACATTTGAAATAACGAGTATGTATGTTACTGGAATGTTAATTCATAACCTAAAATGACACTCACATCCACCATGACGAAGTCATTTTTATAAACATTTAAAAATAACTCTGGGGGAGAAGAGGTTTCAATATCAAATCCATACCCATAATTCCTTCTACTGTAGGCCAAAAAGCTCATAGCAATGTACTGAAGCAAAAGCCATTCTGGGTGCAGCAGCGCCCGATGCTACATTACAAATCAAGCAAATGGCTACATGCTAACCATGCCATCAAGTGATGGCAGGCACAATCTAAGACAACACATTAACTCAAGCACGGTATACGAGGACACTTTTTTAAAAAAATGGGGTTGCTAACAGATTTATCAGTTGTGCTTCGCTTAAGAAATACACGAGTTAGGGACAGTTCTATTGGACATCAAACTTAGAATATAAAATACATTCAATTAAGGGAGTGTTCCCTAAATATAAATGTATGCAATTGATTAACATGTCTATCTGCTCTAACAAAAGGTTCCGCAAAGTATACACATCGTAGTCATCTTAAAACCGCATGTGCTTGAAGGAATTAAACTTGTGTATTGATTTTGGCAATTAAAGTTAAAATGCATTGTTAACAGAAGAGCGTTACGGTTACAGATACATTTGATCAAGGCAGTTTAATTACATCAACTACAGTTAATGACAAATAGGACCAGAGAAGAAGGGGTGGCATTTCGCCAAACAGACAGTTCTACATTTGCAAAATATATTAAAGAAAAGTTATTCTTTTGTCTGAACTGAACTGCTTAACTGCCCTCATAGTTCATATATATAGTCTCCATGCTGTTCAAGCAGCTGGAACAAGCTATCACCGTCCACTGCTGTATCCTGGGAAGAACTGGTTGAGAATGGCTTGGAGGGGTTTGTTGACAGTCATTGGGTTGTTTTTCCCCAGATCGTGCCTGCATGCCGGGCATGAGTACACCTCTGCCTTGAAAGACCGCTGAAGGCATTCCTATAAAAAAAGGAAATAAAGGAAAAGTGCAACTTTCAATCTCTCACTCCATTTTTCTTGCTCTCAAATTGGACAGAAAGGCAAAATGTGAATACGAGGCTAGCAAAAAAGATCAACTAACCCTGCAGACATTGTGTTGGCACTCGGTGGTGATAGGTTGAAAGACCACTTCTTGGCAGCATATACATGAGAAGACCTCCTCGACTTTGTTCAGGAATTTCTGAAAAAGCAAAAGTAACTGTTAAGTACCTAGTATCCAAACCCATGGTAAGTGAGGAGAATCACATGGAAAATCGGAAGCTGCAAAACTAAGTCATTTTACGTGTCTTAATGCATTCTAAAAATCAGCCCTTCAATGGACATAACAACAATGCTCAGTACACCACCAGTGATGACAATCAAAAGAATCAGATGGTCACATCAAGAGCCAATTGCTTTGCATCAGCATGAGATTTTATCTCAATGAGACTACCTGGGTAAATAAATGAATTCCAATGGTGTGAAATCTGGCAAAGACTTCCTTACCGGGCCAAGGGCCAGAGACTCCATGGCTTCACCCCAAAGCTTCCTGTTGGGCTCGTCACCCTTGATCCAAGCCTTCTGTTCTTTGGTCAGTTTATAAGCCTCAACTTTCATCTTCTTGGGAGTTCCCTTGGCTGGTGACGACTTCTCTTCAGCTATAAAAGAGCGAGGTAGCACATTGACACAGAAGGTTAGGAGAGAGATGGACACCCATTTACATCTTACTCCAGGGTCAATACCACTCATGATTGTAAAAGTGAGAATAGAGTTAATCAATCAATAACCACTTGCACCTGTATTCTGTTGGGAATCTGAAAGCTATCAATGTATTTTGTGTGGCAAAGCTAATTCTGCAGCTACTTTGAAGAAGTACTCACCATTAGACTGAGACTTCCTCTTCCGCTTCCCTTTGGTGGGCGTTTCAGTCACCTCTTCATTTTCCTTCTCCTTGTTCTCCTTCTCATTCTCCTTGGCAGCCTGGGCCTCCAGATAGCCCTCAGGATACTACAACATATTCAAAGATAGTCATCAAAACGAGCAAAAAAAAAAAAAAAAAAGGCATAGTCGCATTTGCTGCAGTTGACAGGATGAGCCGTGCCTCTACCTGCATGGTGAGTCCCAGTTTCTTGATGCGTTCCTTGCCGTCCCGGGTCCATGGCGCTGGCTCGTCGTCGTTTCGTTTGAGCAGGTACCTCCAGACCAGGAAGCCGGACTTGCCCTTCTCTGGCCAGTATTTCACCACCTGGAAGACAGGAGGGCATTCTTATCAGTCAACATGGAACCACAGGACAAGACATCAATGAAGCAGGCTTGTGAATTGCTAAGGGGGGTAATAATACACAGTATTTCCATATTGTACTTAATTTCAGATTCAACAGCCCATATCGCGCCTGTGCTTTCCCACCTTGTAGATGCCGTCGTATCTGTTGCCGTCTTCGGGGCTGAACTTGCTATGTTTGCGGCCCTTGGAGCTGCGCACCACCCTGACCGGCTTGCCTGCCTTCCAGTCTTTGGCCTCTGCCCCATCCTTCTCATTCACCGACGCGTTGCAGTTTAGAGCCAGAGCTCTGGGTCACACGGGCAAATGAGGATTGGGTCATTCAAATGAGAATCAAAAGGTGGATGGCAGTGAATAATCTCAAACTCACTCAACATACTTTACAGACAGTTTAAACAGCAAATAAGATGTCCTACTTGAATAATTTTGAATTAATTATACTCAATACAATAAAAGGTGAATTGTTAGAACAGGTCATGATCATTGAAAACAGTCAAACTAAAGCTCAAGAGGCATAGACATGCAAAGCAAATAAACCCATCCATTTCAACCTCATTCACACCACTGTATCACACATGTAGTGTTAAATGGTGGCATGGGGAAAGGTGTGCTGGTCTGCTGAATACATGTAGGACAGAAGACAGCTCTCCCAATGCAGCAGTAACAGACCACACTTCACTGTAACAGATATGGAGACCAGGGAGAGCTACAGTGGGGGAAAAAAAGTATTTAGTCAGCCACCAATTGTGCAAGTTCTCCCACTTAAAAAGATGAGGCCTGTAATTTTCATCATAGGTACACGTCAACTATGACAGACAAAATGAGAAGAAAAAAAATCCAGAAGATCACATTGTAGGATTTTTAATGAATTTATTTGCAAATTATGGTGGAAAATAAGTATTTGGTCAATAACATAAGTTTCTCAATACTTTGTTATATACCCTTTGTTGGCAATGACACAGGTCAAACGTTTTCTGTAAGTCTTCACAAGAATTTTACACACTGTTGCTGGTATTTTGGCCCATTCCTCCATGCAGATCTCCTCTAGAGCAGTGATGTTTTGGGGCTGTCGCTGGGCAACACGGACTTTCAACTCCCTCCAAAGATTTTCTATGGGGTTGAGATCTGGAGACTGGCTAGGCCACTCCAGGACCTTGAAATGCTTCTTACGAAGCCACTCCTTCATTGCCCGGGCGGTGTGTTTGGGATCATTGTCATGCTGAAAGACCCAGCCACGTTTCATCTTCAATGCCCTTGCTGATGGAAGGAGGTTTTCACTCAAAATCTCACGATACATGGCCCCATTCATTCTTTTCTTTACACGGATCAGTCGTCCTGGTCCCTTTGCAGAAAAACAGCCCCAAAGCATGATGTTTCCACCCCCATGCTTCACAGTAGGTATGGTGTTCTTTGGATGCAACTCAGCATTCTTTGTCCTCCAAACACGACGAGTTGAGTTTTTACCAAAAAGTTCTATTTTGGTTTCATCTGACATTCTCCCAATCCTCTTCTGGATCATCCAAATGCACTCTAGCAAACTTCAGACGGGCCTGGACATGTACTGGCTTAAGCAGGGGGACACGTCTGGCACTGCAGGATTTGAGTCCCTGGCGGCGTAGTGTGTTACTGATGGTAGGCTGTTACTTTGGTCCCAGCTCTCTGCAGGTCATTCACTAGGTCCCCCCGTGTGGTTCTGGGATTTTTGCTCACCGTTCTTGTGATCATTTTGACCCCACGGGGTGAGATCTTGCGTGGAGCCCCAGATCGAGGGAGATTATCAGTGGTCTTGTATGTCTTCCATTTCCTAATAATTGCTCCCACAGTTGATTTCTTCAAACCAAGCTGCTTACCTATTGCAGATTCAGTCTTCCCAGCCTGGTGCAGGTCTACAATTTTGTTTCTGGTGTCCTTTGACAGCTCTCTGGTCTTGGCCATAGTGGAGTTTGGAGTGTGACTGTTTGAGGTTGTGGAAAGGTGTCTTTTATACTGATAACAAGTTCAAACAGGTGCCATTAATACCGGTAACGAGTGGAGGACAGAGGAGCCTCTTAAAGAAGAAGTTACAGGTCTGTGAGAGCCAGAAATCTTGCTTGTTTGTAGGTGACCAAATACTTATTTTCCACCATAATTTGCAAATAAATTCCTAAAAAATCCTACAATGTGATTTTCAGGAGAAAAAAATTCTCAATTTGTCTGTCATAGTTGACGTGTACCTATGATGAAAATTACAGGCCTCTCTCATCTTTTTAAGTGGGAGAACTTGCACAATTGGTGGCTGACTAAATACTTTTTTTTCCCCACTGTACACCAGCACCCGTGGATGTCCTCTGTGCAGAGACTGATTCCTTTTGCTCACTTACCTGTTCATATTGGTGAGCTTCTGATCACACGACTGTTCGGCTGTCCTCTTGTTGCCAGACAGGTCTCGCCCTCCTGAGCCGGTGTAGGTGAACTCGTTGCCATCATCCTGGGAACCAATTGAAAACCAGAATTAGCACAGTGACTTCTCATCCTTAAGGTGTTCACAACATGCCGTTAAATCTTGTCAGACTTATTCTTCCATTTACATGTTTTTTTATGATGTACATTATGGGCACATGTAGTAAAGGAAAAATGGAAGAGGTTCTATGTACTTGGTCATCTTCATAGCCCCCTGCCAGAACTAGGGAGTAAGATCCATCGTTGCTCCTCCCATGGATCCCAGCAACATGTGGCCTGTGGCAACCAGACTCACTCACCTGCACACACAAAACAGTGAACAACCTACCAGGACCTACAGTCATCACTACAAAAACTAAGGGGTTCATTCAATCAAATCCACATTAGCCACCCACAAGACTTGTTTTGACATTGTCAAATTAAAAATGACAATGTTTTGGGGTATATTATGCAAAAAAATACTGCAGTTATGGCTTTCCTCTTCAGCCTGTTGTAAACAGAAGAGGTGACTCACCTGGACCCTGAACTTCCAAATACTTCCAACGGGGACACCAGGGACTGGGCCATAGTGGTTGGAGGGCACGATGGTGCACTGCTTGCTGCGGCCGACACAAGCCATGCCCTGATAGGAGAAGAGGTTGTGTAAAAACACGTAGGTATACACAGTTTACTAAACTAACAACAAATCCATTTAAAAGTTCAGAAGGGTGACTGGGTGTATAATGTCAAAGCACCCTTCATTACACCTATGCTATTTCACTAAGAGGTGGATCCACCCATCAACGTTCCTCAACGCTATTACCTTTCCCCAGTCTCTCTGGCTGGTTGAGCTGGCGGACGCCATCTTGGATTTTTTCTTACTGTCCTTGAGTTTTTCTCCTGCTAGCACCACCTCACTGGCATCGTTGCGGCACTCGGGACAATACCTAGATAAATACAGAGGTTAGAGCAAGCAGGGATCAACAGGACAGCACCCGTGGGTGTTCTCTGTGCAGAGATCGGAAACGTTTTTTTTTTTTCAAGTAATTTGGACAGTACACCATTAACTTGCACTCACGATAAAAAAATAAACTCAAATGAATAATGCTCAATTCAAAATGGCCAAATCAAAACAGCTTGAAGTCACGGCAAACTCCAATTAGAAACATTCTTCAAGTGCCATCTGAATCAATGGCATGAATAAGACAAGTCACATAAGCAGCTATAAAAGAGGGCACCGGCCAGACGGACAGACTGCCAGCCCAGACATCAGTACTGTAGTATACTGACCAGTCGTCGTCATCGGGGAGGCTGGTCAGCGGGGGGTTGAGGCAGTAGATATGGAAGGCCATGTCACACTCATCACACAGCAGCTGCTTGTCCGGGTCCTGCTTCACGCCGCACACGTGGCAATTGCACCAGCGGCAGTTCTTCTTGAGGTCGTCTTTGCAGTGTTTGCACTCGGGTCCGTTTGACCCTAGAGAAAACAGGAGCAAAGACAATGTCAGCCCTTTGACTTGTAAACGTTAACATGTGTACCGTAACCCCTACAGTGGGAGATGCATGTGTAATGGGAATATTTAAGATGAATTAATATTCAGTTAACAGTAATTCACACAATGCTTAGCATATGTTTTCCCTTTCTGCAACACACATGATTTCCAGTGTTCTCTTTGTGACACTGATTGGTGTAGGGGTTGATGGTCACTACACTTGATACTGAATGTTATGAGTTCTTCTCATATCATTTGATAGTGATTGACATTATGAACACTGATTCTGTAGCAGTTGGCAAAGTCACCGTCTATTGTTTTGACTTTGTACAAGCCTCTCAGGCTGATGTTTAGAGAACATTTGGTACTGCATGATTAGACCAGGCCTCTCCAACCCTGTTCCTCCAGGATCATGGTTGGAGTGAAAACCTACAGGATGGTAGCTCTCCAGAAACAGGGCTGGAGTGAAAACCTACAGGACGGTAGCTCTCCGGGAACAAGTTGTTCTGTTCTGAAGGGATTTCCCTAAATTATTGTATTAAACTGTGTTCATCTTTGATATTATCAATGACTGCTCTCCTTTTTGGTTCACCTGGAAATTTCAGTTACAACCAATGTATTGGATGAATGCAAACAAACAAACTAAATATGCTCAGTCAGCACAAAAAAAAAGTGTAAGACTGTCAAAGTTAAATTTGATTTGTGCAGCCATCGTAACTAACAATTATTCTCGTCCTGCATCGTGAAGCTAGTCAAGATTAATCCCAGTTTCTCTGGTACGTGTTGGTCGTTTTCTAACATCTGCCGCCAACGTTGAACTATAGCCTGCTTTCAACCTCCAAACGGTTTGCAACTTTGCATGTGTTTTACATGCACTCTCATCCTTCATGAAAACCAGGCTGATAAATGCACTGACGCTACATGAGAACAGAGACTAAACACATAGGCCTTATGTGATGAAATAGAAACAAATGGAGCATCACTGTCTGCAACGGTATATTGAGCGCAAGTCAATTATTTACGTAAAAGTGTATAAAATGTGTTCTTGGTACTTTAAAAGTACTCTTTAGATACTTATTGGTCAACAGTTCAATGACAAAAAAAATACAAATAATTTGCCTTGATATTAGTGAGATTGCTAACATGTGTTTCTGATAAACCTAATCCAATAACTAGCCTACTGTGTACGCGGTTTCAGTCTCCTCAAAAGCTAATCAGGGGTGTATTCAGTCAGATTCTGGTGCAAAACATTTGACACTGTAGCAAAACGTTATGCAACTAACACAGTTTACTCCAAACGGAAAACATTTTGCAACGAAAACAAATTTAGACAAATTCAGGTAGGTCACTTGTAGGCTCCAATTTACTTTTCAGTGGACTGTCAGATCCCGCTCCAGATCCATCCAAAGCGCCAGGCTCCTCGATTTTGTAAATCTCAGTCAAGAACATGATGCGACAGTCGTTCAGGGAGTCACCGGCATCCCTGAAATAAAACACAAGCACTTAGGATACCATTCATGGTCCTACTGTGCAAACAAAATGCTATACATGGCCAATGGAAAACTATGACATCAACATAATACAAAAGTGCAATCTATACTGTATATATATATATATATATATATATATATATATATATATATATATATATATATATATATATATATATATATATATACACATATACATACATACATTTAAAATGTTTGTCATTTAGCAGACGCGCTTATCCAGAGCAACTTACAGTTAGTGAGTGCATACATTTTTCATATTGGCCCCCCGTGGGAAACGAACCCACAGCCCTGGCGTTGCAAACGCCTTGCTCTACCAACTGAGCTACACAGGGCTATCTATCCATCTATTACATTTTAGTCATTTAGCAGACGCTCTTATCCAGAGCGACTTACAGTTAATCCATATAGACGAACAGGATCAATTATTACCCGAGCAGTATCTTGGCGTAGATCTCGTGCAGGGTACGCGTCTCCCTCTTCTTCTGGATCTGGGCGTCGTACCAGTAGCCGCGCTCCTTGGGTTCGTCGGGGTTAAAGTTGACCATGACCACCATGCCAGCCTCCAGCTGGTGCCACTGGTAGACGGTGCGGGCACGAGGGCGCACATCCTTGGAATGCAGCTGCACCACGCCATTCTCTGGGTAGCTAGAGAGACCACACAGACGCAGATGCAGTATTCAGCTCAGATGCACACGGCAGGTGCATCCTACATAATGGGGCTTTTGTAAGATGATTGACATATCTGAAAAAACAGAAGCAGCTCAAAGAAGTGTATGAATTCTGAGGGACTTGACTGCTGGAGGCACATCTGAGTAATACAAATCATTCATTTCAATGTTCCTCCGGTTTTTACACACTGGCAGGCAAAACAATGTGGCAAGGCAATGTACAAATGATCAAGCACAAATATTTTTAATTTACTTGCCAATTGTCGTGTTATGAATTTTTTGCATAGACTTATCAGGAAAGACATGAATGTTGAAGCCCCACTTCATTTAAAAGTATGAGGAAATGAACAAGGTGTTCTGCCACAGATACGGAAACAGAGTGGTACTCTGTGGTATTGACAGCCTGTTGTCAAAAAGCAATGGGTGCGCCCCAATAATATCTCCTGAAGCAGGGCTTGACATTAACTTTTTTTGCCACTAGTCCTTTGGACAAGTAGGACAAGTTTTTTTTTTTTTTTTACTTGGCCAAAGAAATGAAATAAAAAAAGATCTGTAACACCATTTTTACACCATTGTATGATGCAAGGAACCACTTTACAAAATAAAATGCATTACTATATTTTTTACCATAGAGAATCAGAAAAACGTTTAGGCTACACCCTTCCTATTGGCTTCTTTACATATTCATATTTCAAGCATGTTTCAAAATACAACACTGCCCCCTTAAGGATGGTTGGCCACCCTTGGTAGCCTATAAAATACTGCAACATTACAACCAAATACTTCTTATGTCTTTATAAAATAATTCCCTCCAGGGCACGAAATTAAGTGTGTCCCGTCGTCCCTGGGACGATAAAAAAACAATATGTCTACGGTTCAAAACAAACTCTGGGACAACAGATCCAAAATTCATACAACCACTGCACATAGGGCTCCCGAGTGGCGCAGCGTCTAAGGCACTGCATACATTTACGTCATTTAGCAGAAGCGCTTATCCAGAGCGACTTACAAATTGCATCTCAGTGCTTGAGGCGTCACTAGACACCCTGGTTCGATTTCAGGCTGTATCACAACCGGCCGTGATTGAGTCCCATAGGGCGGCGCACAATTGGCCCAGCGTCGTCCGGGTTTGGCCGGTGTAGGCCGTCATTGTAAATAAGAATTTGTTCTTAACTGGCTTGCCTAGTTAAATAAAGGATAAAATAATAATTTTTTTGGTTTGTTGTTTTTTACCATACAATGAGGCTGACAACAGATCAGACCGTTTATCTTTAAAATGTTGATAAAGTTGTATTTCTTCATATTATAAGCTCAACAATGCGCACATGGCTGTTGGCTGTGTGAAAGTTCCAAAATGCAATTAGCGGAAACCATGGTTCTCAAAAGCACACTGCACGCGCCAGCGGTTTCATGTGACAGATGAAAATATTTGTTAGAAATTAAGAGGGGAGACCTAATGATGCATCCACTAGCATGGGTTACTATTATAACTAGGGTTATGTCTTTGGCTGCTGGACAATCAAATAAAGTTGATTTGCAAACCAATAGAACATGAGAAATGCTGGTTTCAATGGCACATTAAGTGTTAATAAAATAATTCACTCAACACTTCTATAGTCGTATTTTGACTAGGCTACTTTGAAACTAGGTTAGACTTGCTTTATAAAATGACAATTAAATTCAAACAATTAATAATTTCAAAATGCTGACCGCCTCTGCTCAGATTCAGGGTGGGTGATGTGCTGTTCATTTAATCTGAATGAACCGTGCCTCGTATGTCGACAGAATCAAGCCTTTAGACGTTAATATTAATTATCCTTCATTAGATTTGTGAAACATGACTGGCGTTTAGCCTATAGGCCTATTTGTGTAATTAAAAGTCTCATTAAAGTTTGGCTACATTTTCTAGCGCCTCATGTCAGCATCGGTTTGGAGATGAGGCTGTAGCCAATATGGATATCACCTACACTTTGACACGTAGGCTTTTTATTTTATTTATGTAGGCCTACATAAAAAATAGATTTGAATATTATTCCAGAATTGGATCAGAGAGCCAACGGTGATCTAAGTAATTGTTTGATATTGTGCTTTTGTAAAAAAAAAATACTTGTCCATTCGTACAACTTAAATCTAAATGATATATTCTTCTTATCCAACTATTTTTTTTATTTTTATGTCCTGGACAAGAGTTTATGTCGAGCCCTGTGAAGTGTGCACTAGTTCACTACTTTCCACAAATCTAAAAGCATTATTAGATGGGTGGAGACCTGGGCTAGTGAGAGTTCCACAATATTTCTTATACCAGTCATTTCCTTTAAAAAAATCAGTAAAGGGAAGTTAACAAGTGCACCTTTTCGGAGGAAAGAGAGATAATTGGGACATAACCAATCAATCTCCCCATTGGTCCACCTCTTTGCTAAATGGCAATAAGCTCCACATGAACACATCTGTTTTCTATACATGTTTGCTGAGGGTAACCATCACCGTTGCCAATGAGGCATAACATATCCATCCAATCATCCGATATTTAAATATGAAATACTTGAGAGTGCTTACTCTTCATATTTGACGTGGTAGTGAATAACTTCCTCTTCACTGGGTTTAGCGTCAGAGCCCTCCTCTCCAGATGTCTTTGTAACGTTCACAATTTGGGCCTCAAACCAGGCTCCCATGTTCAAGTCTCTGGCATCAACAAACTCATTAATCTGGGGGAGGAGGGAATACAAAAAGTTGATATTGACAATGCTGAATTCACACATTATAAACTTGTGTTTTGCAAACTTCAAATTAAGATTGGCTTCTATTATATTTCAACCCCAATTCAAGAAGCCCAAAATATTAAAGCAAATGCCATTTTAGATTAAGTTAAAAGCATCATTTCACCCCTCCAAATGATACCAGTCCAGCAAATACTAGTCCATTTAGAGATCCGCCCTGTGTTTACCTTGTAACAGCCAAAGCCGGCGTCGACAAGGTCTGGCGTGTCGGTTTGGGTGGAGGTGCAAGCTGCCTGCACCTCGGCCTCCCCGTGGGTGGAGCTCTTGTCCGACTCACTCTGCGCCGAGCCACACCCAGAGTCAGAGTCAGACAGCTCAGCCTCTTTGTCCTTGCTTTTGAGGACAGCAGCAGGGGGCGCAGCCTGTCTAACAAGCAGCTGCACTATGTCGTTCAGACCCACGTTGTAGTCAAAGATGGTGTGGCCATCCTCCATCTGGGACCAGAAACAGAACATATTAATTCAGACATGATTAGTAAGGACCCCAGCAACACTGTTGTAACTGAATTGAACAGAAAAGTATCCATCTGCCCCACCTGCTTTCCCCGGTAGAAAAGCCTCTGCCTCTCTGGGTCAACCTTAAAGAGTTCCGAGATCTTGAGGCGCAGCTCGTCCACCTTGGTAAGTTTAGACAGGGAGTCAATCCGATGGGTCTCCTTGCCATCCATGGTGCGCACTTGAATCCACATTGCAGCTGCCCTGTGCAAAAGGGAGCCAAACTGTGGGTTAATGGCATCATCTGAAACAGGAGTTGAAAAAGCAGCATCATTCAATGTTTTTCCTTTCCTTTGAGTATTACTGTGCCAACTATTGATCAAGTGAATCAATCATTCATTATGTCCTTGAATAAATACTTCCCCAAATCATTTCAAATTCCATTCACAATGACCAGGAAACAACATTCAACAAACATGCCATGCTGATTTTAACAGTGCGGGAAACTGGGTTAGTAAGCCACTCCTACCACTTTTAAATGCAGCTATTGCGACCCCATCCTGGCGCGAAGGCAGCGCTTGTATCAAACAACGTGGCTTCGCTTCCTGACAATGTTTCAAGCGCACTGTTTCAACACGTTTTACCGTCTCGAAACTTGAATATAATTGCTATGTAGACAGTATGAGATATATATATATATATAACGTTCGTTTAATTTTACATTAGCTAGCGAAACTGTGTTCAGCTGGGAGGAGGCTAGTTGTCTGGGTTTCCTCGGGTCAGCTGGTTCTGGGATGGGGTACACATTGTTGTGGCAGTAACTACTACTTCACCAGTTTACTTTGACTTGCTAATGTTGGCTGGCTAGCTAGATACACAAACGAATCATTAAACAATATTGTGGAACAATTGACAAGTAGCTAGCTATTTCAATTGAATATCTCAAATTCCCTGGTTAATGTAATAGTTAACGTTAGCTAGCTATGCTTCAAAAAAGCGCGCTATTTTGTTCTCGGCTGGTGGACAAGTAATTAACATCAAATTAACAAGTAATATTAATAACCGTCGTAAACAAACACTTTTGCAATAGCTAACATTAAGTAGCCATCTTAGTAAGTCAGAATTAACTAGTCATACTAACGTTAGCTAATGTAAATGGGTAGCCATTGAAATGTTGAAACTAACTAGAGTTAACACCCACACATCCACCATAGTAACAAATCCAGTAGTCTGTGGTAGTAACGTTAATCGACATTGACAGCACACCACGTTACATTAGCCTAACTAGCTAGTTACCGTTAGCTACAACGTCAACTAATACGTTGGAGTTGCTAATTAACCAAAGGAACGATGAACGTTACATTGATGACATTTATACCTAGTGAGTTAACTTAGCATGCGAAATAAGAATATTTTGAATTCACTCCCAGAAAGTTAGCTAACGTTACAGTAGCTAGCTGGTTAGAATGAGGCATTCACTGTGCCAAGTTAACTAGCCACTTTCAAAATGCCAAATAAACATTACATTACCTGTTTTTACTTCCAAATGCAAATAATTAAATGACGTTTACTAAACGGTCAAACGTAATCCTATACTACTTCTTGGTCAAATTCACAACTCCTCTGTAGACAGCTTTTAGGGGACTCAATAAGAATCTTCAACAGCGTATTTTGCCGCCTTCTTTCCGCTATTGGCTATTACCATTCTGAGTTTATCTCTGATGGGCTGTAATTCCTGTCAATCAAAACTGTGACCGGAGCTTAGCTTCAGCCCGCGAAACTAGGGTCTCTCTGGTCTTCCCTCTTCCGAGAATTTGGCGCGAGATTGTGTAAATGGACAGTACAATCAAACACAGAAACAGAACTGTGTTGTACAACGTTTTAGCACAACTTTATCCCTGCGAGAAGACAGATCGACACCAAACTTTAGATACATTTGACAAAAAATGTACAGTGTGATTTCTTCAAACTGAAAAACTACTTTCTCAGCATAGCAAAATTCGTGGCCACAACCATGTGCTGCTGGGGCATGATGTTGTGCCTCCAGTGTTCCTGTCTTGTTGTTCAGTTTGGCGGGAGAATATCATGCCAAGTGTGAACAAAGTAACATCAGAGTCCGTTTTTGTTCACAGTTCACGGAACACGTCCTTATGAGATATACCAAAGCCAAATCTAATTGAAAATTGTACCTAGGCCTGTCCCATTATTTGTTTACCTAAAATGTTTCTGAATGGGAGTGTTTGTCTAGGCTAACATTAGATGTTGATTGAGATGCAGGATTGTGTCTTGTTAGTTGTAGGCGGCTAATAATGCAGGGCTCCCATGGAGCTACCATTGACGTCATTTGATTTAGACCTGTTTTCTTTTTAGCCTACTGCCTTCCTGATGCCATAAATAATGTTTTATATTTATGCCTCTCATCCAACTCAGCACCAAACTATTAATTCCTTGTTTTAAAGGACAGCATCCTGCTTTAACCTCCATTGTTCATCTAACCACAACAACGTGAGGTGCATTACCATCACCAACTGGACTGGAGTGTGGACCAGAGACGGGGAAGGTCTAAAAAAAAAATCCTACCCATTATTCTCATCTCCCTAAGGAAACGAAATACATCATTAAATACTACACCCCCTGAAGATTTTCTCAGCAGTTCACTTAAGCTTGGCTCTTTAACACCATTACTTAATTCTAATAACAATCTCTCCCTTTATGTTCCTCCTGACATTGATCACACCTCTCAGTTGGATGTTTTCCTACCAATTTCAATTTGCTGTTGAACCTTGTTTGTCCCAGTCTCAGCCTAATGTTGACACGTTCCTCCCTTCTCTCTTGGCCTGAGGACCTCCCTGCCCCCACCTTTTCCTGGACCTTATACTGGTGTATTCCCTTTCCCTGCCTGTTCCACAACTCTTGACATTTGTTTTTAACCACTGTTTTTTATAAACCCCTCGGCTTCTGCTTAACTGATTGACAATTCCATTTCAACATTAGGATGTATGAGAGCCTGCTTGGCGAGAACATCCACCTCCCCATTCCTTTCAACTCCCACATGAGCTGGTACCCAGAAGAACATCACAAATTCCCCCATTTGTCTCACCCTATAGAAGCACTGCAAAATCTCATACAATACATCTTGTCTGCTTCCGAGACACAAATGAATTTAAGCTCATCAGTGCTGCCAGGCCTCACCTCCTCCACCCAATCTGCAGTCAATAGTATGGCCAGCAACTCCATTGTGTAAACAGATAAATGATCCGCTGCTCTTTTTGTCACTGCCACCTTAAACTTAGGATGACATCATTGGCTCATTCTAACCATGCTCTTGTATCCTGTCCATGTCCTAAACTAAATCATTTTTTTTGTCTCATGGTGAGTTGACTTGAACTTTAACCCTTCTTGTCCAATTACTTTGCAACGTAAAAGTGTTTCACAAGTGATTGTTGTAAATCATTTAATCAGCAGCAGCAGAGAAACCCATAAAAAGTGCATTATTATTACAAGCAGAGATGACTATCCCAAATCTTTGAAGTGAGAGGAAACCTTATTACAGTGCTTGCTACTCCATCTAGAGGCCACGAGCGAGAAAGCATTAAAATGCATTCGGCTTCATAATATTCATTAATGAACCTCAACAATTATTTTGATTCCTATTACCATTACTTCAGCATAATTCATAATTAATAACGACTCATGAAAGGAAATAAAATAAATGTATACACTCCTTTTATTGACAATAAACAATAAAATAATTTCTCAACATTTATGAACAATCATGTGACTTAAGCTTTCATTTTACAGCAAAAAATAATTTTCACAAAGTATGTGACAGAAAATGAATGATGATGATTTTTCTCGGCATATAACAAAAAATAATAGACATAAATTTGACAAAAGTGCTATAACATAACATAACATCCATTATGATCCTTATCAGCACCATAATCAAAAGAAACCCCATCTGAAATGTAAAGATTACAGTGTTCTGGAAACATGATTATTTTGCATCAGCAGCGTTATTTGCCTCAATATTCAGGAAAAAGAGATGACCACAATTTAGGGGAGTGTAAGCCTAAGCATTTTGAATGGTTCTGGGTCTGCAAACCGTCTGGCACCTTGTCCGGCAGAACCTACGGCAGCGTCCCCTGCTGCAGACCCTCCTGCAGACCCTCCGATGAGCAGGTCGCTCGAGGTTGGATTCGGACTCACCCTATAATAGTAGAAACAAGGAATGTTTAAAATCATACTGCAGTGATCATTTGGATTGTATATGTTACTTGTGCATTCAAAAGCATGGGAAAAGAGCATCACGTTGGAGCCCTCTCCCCGGTGCTTTTGAATGCCCCGCTAACTGATACAATCTGCTTCCACTAGAAAAATACTAGCCAGAATATTCTGGCTGTTGCTAAATAACCAGTTTACAAATTTAGCAACGGTTTAGACAAAACAACAACACCCTAGGTACAGTACCTTGCAAAAGTATTCATCCCCCTTGGCGTTTTTCCTATTTTGTTGCATTACAACATGTAATTTAAATTGATTTTTATTTGGATTTCATGTAATGGACATACATAAAATAGTCCAAATTGGTCAAGTGAAATAAAAAAAATCACTCAAATAATAAAATAATGGAAAAGTGGTGCGTGTATGTGTATTCACCCCCTTTGCTATGAAGCCCCGAAATAAGATCTGGTGCAACCAATTACCTTCAGAAGTCACATAATTAGTTAAATAAAGTCCACCTGTGTGCAATCTAAGTGTCACATGATCTGTCACATGATCTCAGTATATATACACCTGTTCTGAAAGGCCCCAGAGTCTGCAACACCACAAGCAAGGGGCACCACCAAGCAAGCGGCACCATGAAGACCAAGGAGCCAAACAGGTCAGGGACAAAATTGTGGAGAAGTACAGATCAGGGTTGGGTTATAAAAAAATATCAGAAACTTTGAACATCCCACGGAGCATCATTAAAAAATTGAAAGAATATGGCACCCCAACAAACATGCCAAGAGAGGGCCGCCCACCAAAATTCACAGACCAGGCAAGGAGGGCATTAATCAGAGAGGCAACAAAGAGACCAAAGATAACCCTGAAGGAGCTGCAAAGCTCCACAGCGGAGATTGGAGTATCTGTCCGTAGGACCACTTTAAGCTGTACACTCCACAGAGGTGGGCTTTACGGAAGAGTGGCCAGAAAAAAAGCCATTGCTTAAAGAAAAAAATAAGCAAACACGTTTGGTGTTCGCCAAAAGCCATGTGGGAGACTCCCCAAACATATGGAAGTAGGTGCTCTAGTCAGATGAGACAAAAATGGAGCCTTTTGGCCATCAAGGAAAACGCTATGTCTGGCGAAAACCCAGTGAAGCATGGTGGTGGCAGCATCATGCTGTGGGGATGTTTGTCATCGGCAGGGACTGGGAAACTGGTCAGAATTGAATGAATGATGGATGGCGCTAAATCCAGGGAAATTCTTGAGGGAAACCTGTTTCAGTCTTCCAGAGATTTGAGAATGGGATGGAGGTTCACCTTCCAGCAGGACAATGACCCTAAGCATACTGCTAAAGCAACACTTGAGTGGTTTAAGGGGAAACATTTAAATGTCTTGGAATGGCCTAGTCAAAGCCCAGACCTCAATCCAATTGAGAATCTGTGGTATGACTTAAAGATTGCTGTACACCAGCGGAACCCATCCAACTTGAAAGAGCTGGAGCAGTTTTGCCTTGAAGAATGGGCAAAAATCAATTTTAATTCCAGGTTGTAAGGCAACAAAATAGGAAAATGCCAAGCGGGGTGAATACTTTCGCAAGCAACTGTAAGTCGAAAATAAGCTAAAATATCAAAAAAGGGAACTATCCCTTTAACCTGTGTCCTGTTATTGGTTCCAATGTACAGCAAACCTGACCCATAAAGGATCATACATCTGTTGCAGGCTCATCCCAAGTCTTTGCAGTGATGCAGCTTGATCCGTATTTGGACCAGCCTTTGGGGCATCGTTGCCTGCTCTCTGCCCCCTCATCTATGTCCTCTACGTCCTCCTCTACATCCTCCTCTACGTCCTCCTCTATGTCCTCCTCTACGTCCTCCCCTATGTCCTCCTCTACGTCCTCCTCTACGTCCTCCCCTACATCCTCCTCTATGTCCTCCTCTACGTCCTCCTCTACGTCCTCTTCTACGTTCTCCCCTACATCCTCTCCTATGTCCTCCTCTACGTCCTCCTCTACATCCTCCTCTACGTCCTCCACTATGTCCTCCTCTACGTCCTCCTCTACGTCCTCCACTATGTCCTCCCCTACATCCTCCTCTACATCTTCCTCTACATCCTCCTCTACATCCGCTACATCCTCCTCTACGTCCTCCTCTACATCCTCTTCTTCGTCCTCTACGTCCTCCTCTACATCCTCCTCAACATCCTCCTCTACGTCCTCCTCTACGTCCTCCTCTACATCCTCCTCTACATCCTCCTCTACGTCCTCCTCTACGTCTTCCTCTACATCCTCCTCTACATCCTCCTCTACGTCCTCCTCTACATCCTCCTCTACATCCTCCTCTACATCCTCCTCTATATCCTCCTCTACGTCCTCCTCTACGTCCTCCTCTACGTCCTCCTCTACATCCTCCTCTACATCCTCCTATACGTCCTCCTCTACGTCCACCTCTACATCCTCTTCTTCGTCCTCTACGTCCTCCTCTACATCCTCCTCAACATCCTCCTCTACATCCTCCTCTACGTCCTCCTCTACATCCTCCTCTACATCCTCCTCTACGTCCTCCTCTACGTCTTCCTCTACATCCTCCTCTACGTCCTCCTCTACGTCCTCCTCTACGTCCTCCTCTACATCCTCCTCTACATCCTCCTCTACGTCCTCCTCTACGTCCTCCTCTACATCCTCCTCTACATCCTCCTCTACATCCTCTACACATAAACTCACGTAACCCAATTTTGCAAGCTCTGATATTGCTAATTGGAATACAAGTAGTCAGTTGTCTGCCCTACATACACAAACAAAGAGGATTAGGATATCATAATGC